TTTTCTTTTTCAACTCAAAACCTAACTTTATAGCATGAAGTTAGTTCTATAGAATTCCTTATCTAATTATATATTTACATAGCAGAAAAACATCATCAATTTAAACAAGTTATGAATGACGAAAATATTGATTTTGTTTAGTGCAAACATCAATTAATGCAAGCTTAACTCATCACTACATAAAGGAATAATTAGTGTCACGGCTTTTGTACCCTATGTTATCTTGATAACTTTAGAGATGATTATTGAATTGTTCATCTATGAAATTTCTATTTGAGCTTCAGTACAGTTAGTTTTTGAATTACTTTAAAAGTAATTTAGTAGAAGTCACTTTTATTTTCCTTGTAGCTACGCTTATTAAACCTAACAATAATTCTTATTTAGTTTATTTTTTCTCATGATTTAATATATCACTACAGTCAAAACAACGAAAAAAAAAACACCAATCAGAATATTCAGTCACTGAACTATTTCATAAGTTTTTATAAAACAAACTTAAAATATTAATTATTCAAAATGTAATCAATATCAATAGATAGACAACAGGAAAGAATAAATAATGTGTTTGAAACTTTTGACTTGATAGTAAATGAAATATCACGACGAGTTTCACTAGTAGATCAGAACTTTATGAGCACACGCATTTTCGATTCGTTTCAGTTGTTAAATGAGTCAAAATTTTCTGAATATTTTTAGTTTAATTATGAAAAATTCTCATTTGAAATACTTACTTGTCTTTTGATCATACATTCATTTGTTTACTTGAATCGAAACTATTCGACCATTCCTGTTCTAATAAATGAATTGAACAATTAATTTTTTTTTTTGTTAAATGTTTATTAGATTCTAAATTAAATAAAAAAAGTTCCACTTACTCATTTCTTTGCTTTATGAAGACCACTAAAATTTAAACATATAATAAGTGAAGACTAAAATAAAAATTGAATATTACAGTTTTTTTTAAGTTACTTTATCAATTAAATAAATTCATCGGTTTTATTATTTTCATGATGTTGAAATCAATGATAACGATGAAGATACATGTATGACCATCAATTGAACAAAGTATTCCAAATTGTTCAGTTTCTTTAATTAGAAAAATTTTTATTTAAATAAAAAATAGAGATTATGTCAATGCAACTCATTCAAGATTATAACGTAAAACTTACATGTATTCTTTAGTCTCATTATACTCATACAACATACTTGAAATGAAAAATTTCTACCAGACTACGAGGGATCAAGAGAAATCGAATTTTAGTCAATTTTTCTTTTAAAGTTACTATGATTTTCATATGTTTTCATTTTTGAATCTCTTAACTTCTTTTGGATGAGTTTCCTTCGCGATTCTCGAAAAGGATGTGGGTACTGGTATAGAGAAAACTATTCCAGAATTGAATCTTATCATATCTAAAAACGTCTTCAGTATTTTTTTTATTTATACGCTTGAAGTCGTAGAATATTTGACTATAACTTTCACTTGCAGTTGGAACTACCGGTTTTTCTCATAGTTGCTACTATTAAAGTGAAAATCTATAATGACCACATTCATAAATGATCACCAACAAGATGCCTTGAAAAAATGTGAAATAAATTCCAATGAGAATATTATGAATACGAATCTGACAAACTTCCAAATTTTCGTCTCACATATCTTTAAAACTTACATTCACTCTATTTTTCTTCAAAAAAGATCTGAGTTCCACAAAAAAAAACAATCAATAATAGTATCATCAATTGTTAATGATAATGGATTAATATCAAATAAACTTTGAATATCCCTTAATTGAATAAGTATAATATGTTTTTATGCCGAATGTTTTCCACATATGTTCAAGACAATCGAAGAAAAGAATAACAAATTAAATGTGTTCGTATTATTGTTAATTCTTGTGAAAGTTCAATAAATTAAAATTTTTCTATATGATCACGATATGCATCAAGGAATTCTGACTAAAATTTAACAACAATATACTTAATACTGTCGAAATCGTTTTCTTACTCGACAATTATCAATACGGTTAATCCACTGAATTAATTAATAATTGATAATCAATATATGCTGTTGATTTAGATTTAAGTAAACGTTGAATAGGTCATTATCATGATAATGCAACAAAATATTGTTTACCTAATTGAGTTTTATGTTTACGAATCTATTTGAAAATAGTTTTTATTTTGTTACATTATCTATTCAATGAAATAAAATTACCTTATGATAAGTATAACAACGAGTATTCATTTTTTTCAAAAATCTAATGTATGAATCACATCCATTGTTTTAGCATAAAGTTTTCTAAAATCTATTAGAAAAAACTAGTTCATTCGAAAATGAAGAACAGTGTCCGACAATTTAGTACGAGAAGAATTTCATTATAGTCTACGAAAACTGAAATACATCAAAAACATCAAATCTCGTTAGGCTCGATATATTTTTTTTCTAATGGTTTTATTCGACTGATAAACAACAAGTAGAAAAAAATTTATGCTTTCTTTTTCAAAACTATTATTTGATTATTGAGAAGTAAGTTCATATTCAGACTTTGCTATCGTATTGAACAATCAAACAATGTTTGTAGAAAAAGTATACATAGTTTTTTTTTCTTAAGTATATGACGAGTAAAAATCTTGGGAAAATATCGAGTCTGTTGATACTTAATCATTTTATGATGTTGTTTTTTGCAAATATAGTTTTTGCGACAATAACATTGGTCGAGTCTATTAACAACAGAATATTTTCTCAAGTAACTCAACAGACGCCATAATTTTTTTTTAACTAGTAAAATATATTTCATTGACTAGTTATCTTACTTGAATAATATTTAATAACATTGTAAAATTAATATTAATTTTCATTCGATTTCTCTTATATTCTATTCCAATTAAATACTAATTATATGTTAATATTCTGTTCTTTATAACAATATTGCCATCTAATACATACTCATTTTAATAGTTGTATTGAATAATAAATCAAGTAATGGACTATTAATCATATGCTGATGATGAAAATAATAATAATGAAGAAATCTGACGATGTTGTTGTTTAATTATTAATTAAATTAATTGTACAGATGGGTTTATCAACATTATTCATTAAACATAAAATTCTCCAAATCACTAAAAACATTATTATATATACATTTTTTAATCTTTTTTCTTTATTGATTAATACATACTTGTACATGAATAACAAATTGTTGATCTTGATGTCGATATAAATAAATTTTTATTCAAAAGAAGAATATATCTTGTTTCATTCTTTTCTGTTGTGATAAATCCACCTAACAAAGAAAGATTTTTTCAAACTTCTGTAATGAATTATTTTGATCTAAAATTTTGTTGATATTTAGATATGTTCATCCAAAAAGAATATTATTGTAAAAATTTAAGTGTTTAAAAACTTCCATTGTTTTATTTTTTTCGACAGTCTATGAAATTGAATCAACTTTTTTAACATTAAGTATGTCTACTTAAGTAATAGTTCGTTTGATGTAATATATTTTGTATGTTATCATAACAAATAAAATAATTATACATAAATGTTGTTATTGATTATCATTAATAAAAATAAACAAAACAATTTCATTTTCATTCCAAATGAGACACAATCTAAAAAAATTCATAAATAAATCATTATATATGTTAATGTTAACAAGAGAGAAAGGAAAGAAAAAAGAAATATATGTGAAGAGAAGAATTTTCTTTTTCTTTTTTGTCTTTCTCTCGTCCATAAGTCATTGTTCATGTTGTTATCATTGACGATCAATGATCAACATGTACAATTAAATATGTATATCATTTTCGACGAGAGAAAAAAAAGATTTTTCAAGGTATAAATACGAATGATTTTCTATGTAAAATCATTCAAATTTTTGAATCAAATAATAATAATTTTTCTTCTCTATTTTAGATCGGCTTCAACCAAACAATATGAAACAATTCAACAACAAACCAGACAATAAAATGAAATGTAGGTATCAGTTATACTTTTTTTTATTTTTTTTTCTTTTACGATCATAAGGATGGTGGGGTAAGGCCTTCTTTGATCTTTTTATTATTATTTTTTTTTATTTTAGGGAATAAACAATGAAAAAAAGATAACGTTGGGGTAAGTCATCTCATTCTATTTCATTAAATAACATTGATTAAATTTTTTTTTCTATTCCTTTCAGCTATCAATATCAGCGCGTCATCAACATCAAACACGGTAAGTAATTTTTTTTTTTTGAGACGAGAATAGATAGTGAGATTGAGAGGTTAGGGTGAGACTAAGAAAAGTGAGCGTTAGTGAGAGACGACAGTGAGTTCTGTTCGTTGAGGGTTAGGGTTTCGTCTCTTATGAAGGACTTCCGGGTAGCCCCTAAAAGCCCGGCCAGGAACTGTCTTGGAGTCCGTGGCACACGACCAGGCTTATTCAGACTCATTGACATATCTCTCGCAGGGAGGGTATGAATGATATGAGTCTGTCCTGTGCGTGCATGAGTGTTACGCTCGCCACGGCTCCACCAGGATGGTTCCTGGTCGCGCGCGCGTGCGAATAGAATAAGCCATTCATTTCATCAATTCAATGCAATTTATTTGAAACGAAAGGAACGCAAAAAAAATAATTCATCCTAACGAGTCTATTCGATTGAAAAGCGTTGAACACGATGATTCCACCGATCGGCGACATAGAGATTGCCATGTTGATCGATGGACAAACCTTCGAGACAGTCGAACTGATTTGCTCCTTCTCCTTCACCATTTCCACCCACAATGACAGTCCCCTGTTTCGCTCCTGTAGGCCAACGCATCACTCGATGATTCGACGAGTCTGCCACATAGATGGTACCCAATGTATCGACAAATAGTCCATTAGGACACGACAATTGTGTCAGAGCATTCCCTGTGCCTTGACCTCCAGCGACGACAATTCCTTCTTTCGCATCTTTATTCCATTTCATTACACGATGATTGTAGCAGTCTGACACGTAGACAGTCTGTTGTTGATCGACAAAGATGTAGATCGGACAGTTGAGTTGATTGAGACCATCACCTTCGCCATTGCCACCAGCCACGATAGTTCCATTCTTGTCTCCTATTTGATATCGTCTTACTTCATGTTTGCCGTAGTCAGAGATGTAGAGATATCTCTGATCATCCATGGCCAATCCAAAAGAAGCGATGTTGTCGATGAGGATTTCTCCTTGAGTTGTACCACTACGACGAGACCAGCGTACGACTCGTCGATTCTCTCGATCACAAATAATGCAACTATCCGTCTCTTTGTCAATCAATACATCGGTTGGACTATTCAATTGATCCAATCGTTTTCCCCGGCCATTGCCACCAGCTACTACTTGTCCATTCGTATCACCCATCTTACATTGAATGATACGCTCATTGCCCCAGTCAGCGATGACCATCGTTTGATCATCATCAACGAAGAGACCAAAAGGACGGTCGAGTTGATTGGTGGCACTGCCTTGTCCATGACCTCCAGCAACAGTCACTCCATTCTGTGCCCATCGGGCATCGGCTGGAATATTAGGAATTACTACAATGAACAAAAAAGAAAAGAAATCGTCGTTATCGAAGGGATTCCGTCTCTGATGAGAGCAAGCGCTACAAATATGTCATTCATCTTTGAGAATGCTCATTCCACAGATAAAAATTCAGAAATCTTTTCCTGGTTTCTTATGAGAAAAAAAGGATTTGGTAACGATTCTTACATCTATGTTACTTCTAGTTTTTGCCAAGATCTTTTTGATCATAAAAATAACACCTGGAGATTGCTGTAAGGAGGTTCTCCAAGAAAGAGTAATACTAATTCCATATAAGCTTTTGATAGAAAAACATAAGGATCTGAGGATTTTATTCAGAATTGCAAGGATTCAGAATCTTTTTGGCAGAATGATCATTTATATGAACATCAGAGAAGATTCTATCTGTATCTTGTGAGAAGAATATCGAATCATTGAACAACAAAATATCAAACCTAATCCCTATGTTTTTAGGAAACCTTAAGGACACATGATTTTCTGTATGATGAATGTAGATCTACCGAAGAATCTCCTAAGTATTTGCATAGAGAATGCCGGTGAAATTTTATAAGGCTTTTGATAAGTTATGTGAAGCTGTTCGAAGAACAACCGTGATGTACTCTGAGTAGGATCATGAGAAGGTTTGGATACAGGCGAAACTGAACAAAGTTGAGAGGATTCCACGCGAATCTATGTAATCTGAGGGGACTTCTTCTTTTACAAATGCTGAAAAGATGAATGTCAATCCGAACGAAGCTCTCCAGTGACAAACATTGGGATCTATGGATTTTATGGGCTTTGAAAAGAAAGTGTTCTAAAATGCTATTTTTAACTTTTGATGAACACCATCTTCAAACTATTCTATTAGGATCCTCGAAGAGAATCTTGATGACTAAATAAGATACTCTGTCAAAATCTGAAAATCTAAAAATAATGAGTATCTTCTATGAGGATCATGCTATAATCCTTATGTAGTACTTGTTTTGAGAAGTCTTTTGTAAGCTCGCATATTATGGATATGTTCAGGAGTATCTGAAGAGTAAGTATTTTGAAATAGTTGATATCAGAGATGGGCAATTTCAACTCCAAAGTTGATGCTTTTTCTCATCAGAGTGGAAATGGAGTAGGAACAGGACAGAATGGAGGTGCCTATCTTTGAATTCTATGAGAAAGTTTATAAAGCAATAAATTAATATGCTACTAATTTATATCGATCGTAGATTTAATTATGTTCAAAAACTTATGTGTATTGAAGAGTGTTTTGGCAGAAGTTCAGTTTTGTAAAATCCGACTGAAATTGAAGTTAAATGGGAGTTAGAGTAGGATTTTAGAAAAAAGGAGTAGAGTGGTATGGAGTTCGAGCGGAACACACTGCAGTTAAAATTGATGTGGAGTTTTAGAAAAGAGTAGGATGTGAATGAGTGTTGGTATCCTCTTCACCCTCACCTACACTCACACTCACATTAATATCCTCTAAGGAGATTTCTATGTTCTAGTGAAACTTATTTTGAGTCTGTAGCTCATTGTCTTGTGATATAGAATGTTCAAAAAAAGTAAACTTATATTTTATATACCAGCATAATAAGTCATTTCAGACTAGAGAAAAGTAGTAATTTGTGTTACAAAAGGTGCTTTACGAGGATTTTTAGTTTTTTGATAAGATTCCATGTCGAACGGAGCGACTTCCGTATGCGTATGGGTTAGTATGTATACGCTATACATACCAAAACAGGTTCTCTAACAAGGAGAGCTTTTGTGATTTTTTTTTCTTAAATATTGAAAATTTATATTAAATCTTTTTTCGTACATATTTTGAAATCTAATTATTCTGATTTGTTTAATTTTATTAATTTACAATAAAATTACATTACATTTCATTTAAATTAAAATGAAAGTAAAAAAAAATAGAATTATTTTATTTATTTTTAAATCGAATAAAAACAAATCTATTCAAATAATTTCAATTTCATTTAGAACAAATAAAGATCTCCACTTTTTATAGTTATTATAGTTTTCAAAAAATTAAAATTAAAAAAATTAAAATTAAAATTAAATAATTCTTACTTTTATTTCGTTTTCGAAAGAAATTTACGAAAAAATATTTTATATTTATTCTTTAATTAAAGTTTAACTGAAACGAAATGAATTTGACAGAGTTAGATATTTGAAATTAAAAAAATTCATTATTTAGGAAAATTCTTTAAATTTATTATTTTTACGTGTTTTTTTAATGTTGTTTTTTCATTTTTTTCTTGAATAAATTTCGTCTTAAGGAGAAAAAAAGACAATAAAAAAACCAGCAAAAAACATTTTTTTCAAAAGTATGAGGAAAAAAAGATTAATAATGTGTGGTCTGGTGTAATGGATTGGTTTAGTGTTCGTCATTTGTTTTGGAGCTACATTCAGTAAATACACACTAACTAGGGAAGAAGATTTCAATTTATCCTAATTTCAAAACCACTAATTAATAAAAGTATCAAAAGATGTTGGGTGTAATGATTAACAATTATATAGATATTCCTAAATTCACATGGATAGTTAAAATCTTGATCTTTAAGAATGTTTTGAATTTTTTAATCGTACAAATAGTAATTGAGTCTATGCTAATGAGCTCTCTTTTTATTTTAACTTATTAAGATAATGTGTATGATTAAAAACATTTTTTTGTTAGATCTAAAGCGCACAATATTCACTTTGTTCTCTGTTATCGTTTCATGACAATTTATTTTTGAGTTCAAAAAGATTAGTTTATATTCACGTTTATATATATATATTTCTTTTATCTTTTTTCATAAGACCTTCTGTAAGATACTTATCAATCTTGTGTATAACTCATTTATGCATAAATGATACATTAATTATTCTACTATCGGTACAATTCAAATAGGAAAAACTTGATAAGACATCAAATTTAAAGGAATCGCGAGTTATTTTCTTACAAATTAACTAAGAGAACATCAAATAATATCATGCATTGCGAATAGTATCAGTATAAATAAAAGAAATATCTTAATTATATCTTTCTTTGACTATTTTCTTTTCATTAACGAAATGAAGAGCTCAACATCTTTGTCAATCGTATTGCTGCAGTTTTCTGAGTTGCTCAAAATAATGGAAGAGATAAAGAATGGTACTACAATAAAGTTGACGATAATAATAGAATTGAATTTTCTTCATTTGATTCACTACATCCTAAGATCATTGCACTCGTTGGTAAAAACACTATGTCCTTATTGGTTTATCTCGATTTCAAATGAGCTATTAAGAGAAATTGAATTTTCTAAATTAATTTTTGACTCATATCAAATTTCAAAACAAGAAATAGAGAATATTTGAATATTCTGAAAAAAGGAAAATCATTTTCATAGAGATGTACGCTACATATGTATAAAAGCAAGAACGAGATTATACAGACATTGCTACTATCACTCTTATTCCAACTATAGATTGTTTTTAAATAAATACCGACACGATATATTTTATGAAAATAAACGAATAAATGTTTGATTAACTGCTATAACCATTATTAATCATTGTTTAACATATGTTGCTCTTTGCTTAACCTCTGCTAAGATGAACTGTTTATAGGCAAAAAAATATTCACTCACTAACAGGTTGGGCATGATAAATTGGATAAAATGTTAATGCATTTTTTTTCTATTTTTGGAACAAATAGAAAATTTCTTTATCTATGAATAGATAGAGAATTTGAAGCTCTACAAAACTATTGATTTTGTTTTTCAAAGAAAGTTTTTCTTGTTGACGCAAAATTATTAATTTGTGCAAGCTTTTGCTCATGAACGGCAATGATTAAAGTATAAATTATGGAACATAAATAGGAACTAATACCTGTCAATATTTTTCAGTGCACCTTGGAAAAACCATATTTTCAATAGTCAGATACGCTCTATAAGATATTTATTATTTTGTCATCAGATTTAAAATTAAATTCTGAACAAAATGGTATAAGTTTTAAATTAAAAGATGCGTGGTTTACAAAAAAAAAAAAACTTTTTTTTTAGTAATTTTCCATTTTTTTTCTCTAAAAACTGTTTCTGTCAAATATTCCTTTCAAAAATCTAAAACATCCATCCAAATATGCAGAATTTTACAGAGAATTTCGTGAAGTAGTTGACACTTTACCGAAATTTTTATTTAAAACATTTTGCTCATTCTTTCGGGATTTTTGACAGTTGCAGTTGGACGATTAAGTAGGAACTTATCTTTGAAATTTTGCGCGGGTGTGAGTGTGGGTGTCGGAGAAGACATCTTCATCCACACCCACACTCTCGAGAGAATATAGCAAGATTTCATGATATACT